TCTCCTTTTCCCTGCCCCGGAGCCTTTGTGATAAAGATTAATTTGCTATTTCTGGGCCTGTGACATTTTTCAGAGGCTCCTGCTGGCTGCTGCCTCCATGCCAAGCCTGGCTGGGCTCCAGCCAACAGTATTAGCAAGGAGGGGCCAAGGGAATATGGTGCTTGCCATGGAGTGGGGAAGGAAGGAGCAAGGGACTCTCAGAGTAGGTTATTATTCACATAGAATGACTGACTGAAAGTGTATCTGGGTACGCATGTGTAGATCCTGGGCCTTAGTCCAGAGGATGCCAGGCATAAGTGATAATGGCTGCATGCAAGACTTGTCCCCTTGGGACACCCCAAAGGAAGATGTATCTTGGATCCTTTAATTATGGCTTCAGCGAGCTAAAGGATTTAGCATTTGGAATCTGTCTCCAGAATCAGGCTACTTCTGCATCTTGATTTCAGTTTTTTTTTAACCATTGCTGCTTTCCTGGGCACACAAATGCTTTTCCACATATTCTTGATAAGATTGTAATGAGGAGGCCAGAAGGTACATAATATTTCTGATGAAGTCTCCCAGTCCCAACAGCCATGTGGACTAGAACTAAAGAAGGAGAACTTCTTCCTCCCAGCCTATTATTTTAGACTTTATTTCCAGAGAAGAAGGTGGGGAGGGGTGGTTGTTACCTGCCACTGGATGATATTCTGCTCTTGTCCCACTGAATCTGTCATTGCTGGCTAATACATTCCTGTGCTCCATCCCCTATCCCAAATCCACCCCAGCAAACAAGCACAAACCCTGGATTGAAGCTGAGTATCAGGGCATCGTCATGGAGAATGACAACACAGTCCTGCTCAACCCACCACTGTTTGCACTGGACAAAGATGCTCCACTGCGCTATGCAGGTAGGTGGATAACAGCTCTGGGAAGGGTGGGAGGCAGGGAGAGACTTAGGAAGAGGCAGACAGGGTGACATTCATCCGTGTGCTGGATTCTAGCTCTCTCCAGGAAGCGAACCCCTCCAGACCTTGTTCCGGAGGAGGTCCCCAGTGAAGTCTGGAGGCAATTTGGGGTTGGTTTGGATGCTGTAAGCTGTTCCCCTTAGGGAGAGAAAGTGAGGGTGGAGCCAGCTACTTTTTGACGCAGTTCTGCTATTTCCAAGGATCACATGCACAGCTCTGTGAGCACTGGAGGAAGCTGGTAGGGCATACTTCATTGGCAGTGCTACATCCTCTCACAGTAAGCACAGATCCCTGAAAATACAGACGGGGCTTTTGTGAGGGTTGTATTCCTGGTGCTTGCTTAGTCCGTGCCTGGATCTTCCTCACGCATCGTCCCTCAGCTTTGGGACAGGAGAAGTGGTCCCTGTGAGCTGAACTTTAGGATTGATGTGACCCTATCTGCAGTTCCCTGCAGTACTGTGCACATCCTGCCCGTGTGGGTGGATGAGACATCACGGATCTTCATGCTTTGGCTGCCTATCTGCAATATATGGTCTGTTTTGCCTTTGTGAGGGATGCAAAGGAGAAATAAGGTGCTCCCTCAATATGTGGCACTGGTAAATGTAGCTTGAGCCTTGTAACCTCTAATCATTTTTGGATGCTGGTCAAGACTTCTTGCCGTGGGGGTAGTCTCCAATAGAGGGCAATCTGTATTATTAATGGCTGTATAAGATGGCAGGAGGAACTCTTAGGGAACCAGAAATTGCTGAAAATGAGAGGTGATAATGAGGAATAAAGAAGAGCATAAGTCAGAAAGGAAGAAAATATGGGAGAGGGAAGCAAGGAGACATAAGATGCTCTCCTCAGCCCTTTTCTTTCTCCCCTTCCTCTCTGCCTTTGTGGGTACCAGGTGAAATCTGTGGCTTCAGGATCCATGGGGCAGGGGTACCTTTTGAAGCTGTGATCCTGGACAAAGCTACAGGTGAGGGGCTGATACGGGCCAAGGAACCAGTGGATTGTGAAGCACATAAGGAGCACACGTTCACCATCCAGGCTTATGACTGTGGAGAAGGACCTGATGGAGCAAACACCAAGAAATCACACAAGTATGTCCATGCCGTCATTGCTGCATGTTACAAAATGTGATCTGCCACAGAAACGCAGATGGAAATGGCTGTGGAAGTGCTTCCTTCAGCCAGAAGTATTTTTCTCTGGCCTTGATACTATAATTCAACATGTAAATAAGACCCAAATAGAAATGCTTACTGACTGAGTCACATGGGTGAATACCACTAGAAGTGAGTGCTGCTTGACAGTGTTTTATGTTGCTGCATACTGGCACGAGGTCCAGATTACATTATCATTCCTTTTGCTCTTCCTCTGGGGTGGTAAACTATTGTCCAAGCTCCTGTGTGCCAACATTGTTGTGTTGAAACCAATGTCTCTTTCCTGTCCTTGCTTTTGATGGCTGGAAATCAGACTGGTGCACTTTTAGGGCAGTGATTTATACTGAGATATAACATATTACAGGTGGTATGTGGCTCTGTATCAGCCAGTCAGTTCTTACTGATGTCTTTCTGTGTTAGGGCCACGGTGCACGTTCGAGTAAACGATGTGAATGAGTTTGCTCCTGTCTTTGTGGAAAAGTTGTATCGTGTGGCAGTGACTGAAGGAAAGCTCTATGACCGCATCTTGCGTGTGGAGGCCATTGATGGAGACTGCTCGCCACAATACAGCCAGATCTGCTACTATGAGATCCTGACCCCCAATATTCCCTTTCTGATTGACAATGACGGTAAGGATCCACACCGACCATGAGCATGTCATTCCCCCTTTCCTGCTTTGCTCCCTTTCTGCCAGTCCCATTTTCTAGCAGACCTGTGCTATATGGATGTTGTAGCACTGCTGATCTATCTCTCCTGGTGTAGAGATGCAGCAGCCATTTTGTGGGATGCTATAGCTCATTACAAAGTGTCACTGGGGCGGGACTCAACCCTTCTTTGGTTGTTTCTGTGGTTAATTGTAAATAAGAGTGATTTCTAGAAGGAATGTCTTCGAGGAGACTGAATTTCCTTTCCCTTGACCTCTTTATTTTGCTAACCAGGGAACATTGAGAACACGGAGAAGCTGCAGTACAGTGGAGATCGTGTCTACAAATTCACAGTGACAGCCTATGACTGTGGAAAGAAGCGGGCTTCTGATGATGCTGAAGTGGAAATCCAGGTGAAACCCACCTGCAAGCCCAGCTGGCAGGGTATGAAACCTCCAAACACAGTTATGTCTGCCCTGTGCTTTTGCTGAACTACTACTCAGTCCTACTCATTGCAAATGTTTGTATATACACAGATAAATCTGTATGTCCATATATATGGTTCAGTTCTGGTGCCAACCCGTCAGTCCCATTTAAGGGGATGCAGCAGATATCAGCTGTTGCAAAGCCACTGAAAGGCAATTCTAACGCTGGAAAATAATTCCTTGGATTACTTCTACTACTATGTGTTTGATAATATATTATACATATATTATGATATTACACAATATATGTATAATAAGATAAGGCTCATAGACCGTATTCAATGTAGGTTGTTTTGGAGGCTGCTCATCTTGAGGATATTTGGTTTTTCCAGAGGTGTTGTATGCCTCCAGGTTCACCTTAGTCAAAAGCATTAAGGGGAAATCAACACAGCTAAATATCTGCTCTGCCTGATAAGAGAGGCTGGCAATCCAAGTACTGATGCTACACTGGTGCTAGCTGTGGAAGATGACAGATTTGGACTCCGTGCTTCTAGGAAATCTTCCCTTGGGTTGCTGCCAGCTGTATGAAGTTGTCTTTTCAACATGGAAAGGGCTAAAAAATCTGTTTCTAGGCTAGTCCATAGATGCCACTTGTGGGTGTGCCAGATATTCCTCAGGTCCTTGGCAGGACCTAACCCTCCTCTTTCACTCTTCTTCATTAGGCTGGAACAAAAGGATTGAGTACACCCCAGGCGCAGGCAGCCTCGCACTCTTCCCCACCATTCACCTGGAGACCTGTGATGAGCCCCTGTGGAACATCCAGGCCACAGTGGAACTGCAGACAAACCACGTGGCCAAGGGCTGTGACCGGGATAACTACTCTGAGAAGTCGCTACGTAAACTCTGTGGTGAGCTGATTCTTTCCTGGGCAGAGGGCAGCTATGGCACAGCACCCTCCCTTTCCCCTGGAGGTGCTAGCTCTGTGCCTCACACCGCAGAGATGTTGGGGGACACATTCCTCACATCTGCTGTGGTCAGCAGGGCTGGGGGGACTTGAGGGGCACTGGGTACCCTTGCCCATATTTACAAGGGGCTCTCTGTGCTCTCCTTGCTGAGAAGCCAGAGGTTTCTGTGCATTGCCCCAGTACACAGAGTCTGTGGGACTTCCCCCAGCACAGCTGAGGGAAAAGTCAGCATAGGCAACTTCTCGTCTCCCTGTGGTCTAGGATGTTACAACAAAACCTCCAGGCACCCTCTTTGTCTGTCCCCTAATTCTCAGGCTTCTTGTTCTCTCATGCTGACATTCCTAACTCCTTCCCTTGGTAGGTGCTGCCTCTGGAGAGATTGACCTGCTGCCAGTGCCTAGCCCCACAGCGAACTGGACCGCGCGGCTGTCGGTGCACTACAGCCAGGACAGCAGCCTCATCTACTGGTTCAATGGCAGCCAGGCTGCCCAGGTGCCTGTGGGGAATGGGCTGAGTGCCCATGAGGGGCTGAGCGACCACTTCACCCTGTCCGTATGGATGAAGCATGCCGTGGTGCCGAGCAAAGGCAGGCGGGAAGAGGAGACGGTGATCTGCAGTACAGTGCGCAGCGGTGAGACGCTTTTCCTGGGGTGGTGACACTTCTGCCTGCTGCCTCTGACTTGTTAGAAGGGGTTGTCCCTGAAATGGGAAATGTCCTGTGGTACCTAACTCCCTGTGCTTCTCCCTGGCAGAGGATGGCTACTCGCATTACTCTCTGGCTGTGCATGGCTGCCGAATTGCTTTCCTCTACTGGCCATTGCTGGAAAGCGCAAGGCCCGTGAAATTCCTCTGGAAGCTTGAGCAGGTGACGAAGCATTTGCCTTTTCCCCATGTCCCTTCTATTTCCGCCCTTTGCTGAGCCCTTTCCCTGTTGTCTGCCACAGGTCTGTGATGATGAATGGCACCATTATGCCCTCAACCTGGAGTTCCCCACTGTCACGCTCTATGTGGATGGTGTGTCTTACGACCCTGCCCTCATCCATGACAATGGCCTCATTCACCCCCCACGGCAGGAACCCTCACTCATGATTGGAGCCTGCTGGGCTGGTGAGTTCCCACTCCCTGAACCATGCTCTTCCCATACGGGAAACGAGGGAGTGGAGGGGGAGCCAGAAGAGGTGGAAGAAACACCACCCAGTATTAAGTGATGCAGAGCACATTGCAGCTATCTTGCCTCCCTGGCACCAAAGCCGGTGTGTCTCCTTCCTCTACGGACCAAGCCAGCAGGCCATGGTAATAATAACTCAGGGAAAAGTGTCATTGGCAGCTTCATGGGCAACAGCAGTAGAACATGCAATGGATAACCAGCTTTCAGGCAGAGGAGAGTTTAAACTCTCTGTACCTCATTGAGGTGCTGGTATTTCTATCAAAGCTTTTCAACAGAGAGCAGTCAGTACTGTTTATGCTGCTGGTTGTATTGATGGGGATTTCTGTGTCTTGAGGGTCTATATGAAGAAATTACAAGTCATTCTGTAGAGGAATTGAATTGGAAGACAAAGATCAGGTTAGGAAAATAGTTAAGCCACTACCAGATTAAAACCTGTTCTGTGGAGACGTAAGACTGCATTTCCCAGGTCTTTTCAGTTCTCCTTCAAGACTGAAGCAGGACAGAGCTAAAGGAATTTGCCTGCTGCTTGCCTTCACTCTAGTAAGATTAAATCTTTACTGTAGTACTGCTTCTCCCAGGTCACGGATCTTCCCACAGCTCTGTGCTCTCTATTGGCCTTTTACACCCAATAAACATGAATCAGCTTGGGACACCCTCCTGGAACCATTTGAGTTTCAAAGGGGTGTTGTTGCAAGCATGGCTAAGACTATGATCCCTAAATAGGAATCAATTAATTCTCAAAATAGGTATCATTGGGAAAGGAGAAAAAAAACACCAAACCAGGCCCCTCCCCCCGAAAAAAACAAAACCCAAAAAACAACCCCAAACCCTTACACTTTTTCTGTTATGCATCCTATAGAATCATCATGCCCTTCATGAGAGGGACTCACTCTCTTTCACCTGTGATGTGCTGTCTCTAGGGTTGAAGGGTGCACTGCTTGGCACATGACTCCAGAGCTGTTCCTTTGGATTGGCCAATACAGGCACTTGTATAGATACTTGCCTGACCCTGTAACTACCCTATTCCAATGCCTTATTGCTTGTTTGAATGTTCTCCTTTTGCAGAGGAGAAAAACAAAGAGAAAATCAAAGGAAGTGAGAACTCCACTGATACTATACAAGGTAGGGAAAAGAAGATGGTTCTCTTCCCCTCTTCACCGTGCATGGCTGTCACTTTTTGCATGGTGCTTTCCTCACACAGCTCCCCCAGTCCTGCCCTGCCGCCTCCTACCATCTTGGGAGGAAACCCCTTATTTGGCAGATTGGTCCTTGATATCTTGATATCTGTGGAGCATGAAACGGAGGACTACGGCCTGCTTTGAGAGATGGAGTATGCTTTTCATGTGGATAGAGTCCTCATGCCTGATCGTTAAGTTGGTCTCTGAAGAACGCAATAGCCATTAGAGACATCAGGAGATGTCACCTCATCCCTAACTATCTGTGGAACATATAGCTTCTTTTAAAAGCCCTCACAGGAAGCAGTGTGAGAAGGGAACAAGAAATTGTTTCCATCTGGCATTCAGCAGTTTGGCAGAAACCTCTCTACGCTACCCACCGTGCACTGGTGTGCTCTGTCTGTTGGTCTGGTTTTCCCACTTTCCCCCATCTGGAATCTTGTCATCTCCTGACTTCCGTATCCCCTGTCTTCTTATTGTCTTTGTTTTTCCATGTTCTGTACACTCCTCTGTCTTTCTCTACCTCCCTTAACATCTACATGTCCCCCACACTGTTGCTTTTGTGGTTTTTGCTCTCTTCCTTGCCATGTCTCTCACACCCTTCACCTCCCATGTTTCCCCCAGGAGATCCTCTGTCGATACACCACTACTTCCATGGTTACTTGGCTGGCTTCACTGTGCGCCCTGGTAGCTTGGAGAGCCGGGAGGTTATTGAATGCCTGTATGCCTGCCGTGAGGGGCTTGATTACAGTGACTTCGACAGTCTGGGCAAAGGGATGAAGGTATGCCCATCTGCCCAGCTTGCATGGGTCTCCTCCACTCTCCTCCCCAGCCTTGCTTCCCAGGACTTGGCCTGCTCCCTCACCTCAGACAACTCCTTGCCTTTCTCCTCTGTGTCTCTCTTAGCCTGGGCTCTTGGCGTTTGCCGAGGAACCCTGAGTATTTCCTTCTCTTCCACTTGTAGGTTCATGTGAACCCCTCTCAGTCCCTGCTCACCTTGGAGGGTGATGATGTGGAAACCTTCAACCATGCAATCCAGCATGTGGCTTACATGAATTCACTGCGCTTTGCTACCCCTGGAGTCCGGCCGCTCAGACTCACCACTGCTGTCAAGTGAGTGGACAAAGCAGCGCCTCCAGCTGAGTTCAGCAATAGGGTTACCTCTCTTTTGACTAAAATTACACTCTCTCACCTTGTATTTTAATTCTACTTGATGGTCTCAAAATGGGCAAAAGTCTTCCTGGAAATAGATATTGACCTATGCAATATCCAAATGGATACTGTAATACTGGGCCCTGGGGTCTATGCAGGTGGCAGAACTTCCGGATTCACTCATGGTGTTCCAAGTATGTGGGTTGGTCCTAATTTTCTCTGTGGTGTGTGGGTATGATCAAGTCACCTGTAACCCAGTGATGTTGATCCTATCACACACCTCTCTGTCTTGCACAGCAGGCTATAGGGAAGCTTTTTAGGAAGACTACCAGAAAAAGGATATTCCCTTCACTGGCAGTAATGGGCAGGAGGTTTTCTTTTACAAGTTTGGGCCAACTGATGTTGTCTACCGCTATCCTTCAGGTGTTTCAGTGAAGAGTCCTGTGTCTCCATTCCTGATGTGGAAGGTTATGTTGTGGTGCTACAGCCTGATGCCCCCCAGATTCTATTGAGTGGCAATGCCCACTCTGCTCATCCTGTGTCAGACTTTGAAGCTCCTGATGGGGTCCCCCTGTTCCCTAACCTGCAGATCAGCTGCTCTATTTCTCACCAGGTGGAGGCCAAGAAGGATGAGAATTGGCATGGTACAGGTGAGTGGAGTACAGGGCGAGGTGTAAGAGACTAACTGGAAAGCCCTACAGGAGCTGCTGTGCTGCAGAGAAAGTAAAGTCCCTCATTAAACCTGCAAGAGGGAGTTTACAAATACAGTAGCAAGGCACATTGTCTACCAATATGTAGGCTAATCGGTTCTTATCCCTTTCTGCTCCTCCCTGTACTTTTTCTATCCACGCTGTTCCTTTGCCATACTCCCTCCTTTCCCAGGCTCCTCATTCCTAATCTCTTTTACATTTTACCTACATTTCCCTTTACTGAACGCAGCACTGTATGGATGTCTTGCCTGTTACCCTCTCCACTCCCACCCTTACTCAGCCTCCTCCTGCTTCCTTCTCTCCTGCGTTCCTTATTTCTCACCCCCTCCCACCTCTTCCTGCATCACTTATTCCTGTGAATTCCCCAGTCAGTTTCCTCACATCCTATAATATCTTGCCTCTCAATTTCTCCCCATCATCCTCAGATTATTTTTCTGCACTCTACGTTCTACATGTCCTTTCACTTCTTTCATGTCTTTTCTGGTAATGGGATTTTTTTTTCTCATAGCTTTCTCTTGAGAAGCTTTGCCTTTCCTCCTGCAATGATAAGTTTCTTGACTTAGAGCAGGTTGGTCTTAGCCCTGCTGAAAGCAGTGAAGTCACCGAACGTGGTTGCCATTTTGAGGACGATCCCAACCATGGTAACCAGCAGTTAGCAAATGAGATGGGAGAAAGCTTTCAAAAGCACTCAGGGTCTGGTAATGTGCGATAGAGCTGTTCCTAATTTGCACATTGTCATTGTCAACAGAGTCTTTACAGCCAAGATGTGTTATCATGAACCAGTCTGATAATAGTGTGTTGTTCCAAAATCAAGTGACTTTATTATGTGCATAAATAATGTCATTAGAACCAAGGGGACTCCTCCAACAACTAATTGGGCTGACACTGGTGTTATTCAAGGCCAGTGCTAGCAGGAGAAAGAGAACTCATTACATACCATGTGAGCACTTTTAAGTAAATGGGTACCACTCTAACTCCTGCCTCCACTGATGGCTGCCTGCCTTTCTGGCCCTGTCTTCTTTCCATTTGCATCTCAGTGACAGACACACGAATGTCAGATGAGATTGTGCACAACCTGGATGGCTGCGAGATCTCATTGGTAGGAGATGACTTGGACCCAGAGAGGGAGTATCTGCTCCTGGATGGGGCACTGCTGCAGCAGCGGGGCCTGGAGCTTGTTAACACCTCTGCCTACCTGACTATCACAGGTATGTCCTCTCCTTGGCCACAGCTGTCTATGTCTTTGTCACTGTCAGGCGTCAGTGGGAGAAGCACTTACCCTGATGCATTTAATCTGATGCTAGAGATGTGCTGGTGTTCTTTGTGAGACTCTGAGGTGTAACCATTTGTTGAACTCCTGGCTTTTGGAAGTCCCAGGCCATTTTCTGGTCTCCTCCTCCTCCAGCACACAGTAGTACCAGGGCACAGTGTCTGAGTTCTCACCCAGACTTGTATCACTCCTCCTGACTTACTCCTTGGGGTTTGGTGTTCTTATATGCCAGCAGCACTTTGCATGATGTGACTGGGGGACAGCACATCCCACAAGTTGTGGATTGGTACAACACTGTTGTACTCTCCAGAACTTAACAGGACTGTTGCTTTTGTTCTTTCCTTCCACTTGTTTTAGCAACGCAAGCAGGGATTTCATCGAGTCCTTTGTCGCCAGCTCCATCTCTGTTTCCTTCCTAAAAATAATGAACCCAGCATTGCCTTGGATTCCTCTGTAGCTCCAAGTTGCTACAGGGTTATGATGCCAGATGACTTTGAAGCAGGAGCTTCCTCACACCACACCAATCTTCTCTTCTTGTTTCAGGTGTAGAGAGCATTGCAGTTTATGAGGAAATCCTACGCCAGGTCACATACCACATCAACCATGGTGCTGCTCTTTATGAAAGGAAGTTTCACTTGTCCTGCACTGAGATGAATGGACGCTATTCCAGCAATGAGTTTACTGTTGAGGTACACGATCAATACATGCACACGTAGGTACTTGTGCATGCATGGAGAGGACATGGTGAACAGGAAGGCACACAGTGTAGAATGCACCATGAACATAGGGCTGAGTTTCTCTCACTCTGGTCTTTCTGCAGGTGAATGTCCTCCACAACATGAACCAACCTGCTCATCCTAACCATATTCTGAGTTCCCAGCAGTTCGTGCACCAAGGCCATCATTTACCCTCAGAGCTATCTGGGCACAGTTTGGCAAGCACCCGTAACAACCCAAGTATGTAGTGCTATCTTTGGGGTTCATTCCTTTGGGCCAGGATGCTGATTTTCTGTCATTGTAGTAGAACTATAAGTCATATATGCTATAAGCAGAGGATTCCTTTCATGGTCTCTATACTCATGTTACTGAGTTCTCATTATACTGTCCTGTGCCACTTGTGAGCAAATGGACTGCAGTCAAATTGTGCTTTAGAGCTTGGTGCAACAATCCTTGTCTTCTGGTATGTGTTTCCTTGATGTAGAAGCAGTTTGAAATCTACACCTGAGAAGGTCCAGAAAGAACAACTTTAACCTGGTACAGTTTCATTCCTGCACCTTGCAGAGGTGCTGTGCATGCTTGGGTAATGTCATTTCAGAAAGAAGCTTCAACAGCAAGAGAGAAACAAGAGAATCAAGATTGCCACCGCTCTAAAGAAGAGCTGGGATTAGGTGGTGATGAGCAAGGCAGAAAAATATAGATGTCACCACAGAGACAAGAGGAGGATTCTTGCCTCCAAAGCAGAGGAAAGAGAAGCTGGAAAGCTAGACTAGAGACAGGAGTTGTTGGTTTGTGCTGACAGCACTGTGCAACAAGCATGACTGCAGACCAGCTCTAGGACTGGTAAAGAGGACCCGGTGTTGGTTTCATGTTCCCTGTTGTAGGGAATATGAAAAGCACCTTTGGTGCTAGATTTTGCTGCAGCTTCCTACAGCTGCTGATACCAGCCTGGTCCAGTCAGGTGGCTGGCACTGAGCCTACGTATGTGCTGGGAGAGCACCAAAACCCAGCCTTTCCCTCTCCCTGCCCTAGCTCTGCTGTACTGCAGCAGCAAAGTTGTCCCAGCTGCACAGAGCCACCCAGAACAAAGCCACGGAGAGCTTGGATGGATTTTACAGGCAACGGGGTTATCTGGAGAGTTGAGGTTGGGCCTACTGGCCTAGAGCAAAAGGGTGATATGCAGAGTCTACAGGCCAGGCCTGTAGACAGAGAACATCTGGACCAAGACATCCTGGAAGACCATGCTGGCCTCAAGCAGACATAGAGCAGCTGAAGGCAGGAACTGCCTGTGCCCAGGGCAGGAGTCAGGATTTTGGGTACTGCCTAGACCACAAACCCCCAAGCTCTGCCCAGGAACCCTGGTTCCTGCAGGTCAGGTTGGAAACACATTTCTGTGACAGAGTCTAACCACGGCTTCTCATTTTCTTTCTCCAAAGTGGTCCCTAGTGCTGCCACTGTCATCATCGTGGTGTGTGTGGGCTTCCTGGCACTCATGGTAATCCTTGGCATCCTGCGCATCCACTCCCTGCACCGTCGGGGAGTGGGGCAAGAGGTCCCTGGGGCTGCTGAAGTGGGGCACACAAGCAGCAGCGGCAAAGAGAGTGACATGTTCTGGGACGACTCAGCCCTGACCATCATTGTCAACCCCATGGAGGTGAGGAGCAGCCGCAGGGGCTGGGGCAGGGCAGGCAGCTGGTTTGCCAGATGCTTCCCCTTACCCCATGTCTCACCTCCCCAGTCCTACCAGAGCTGCAAGGAGAGGGCAGGAGTCAGTGGCGAAGGCAGGATTGGTGAGGGCATGGAGGATGAAGATGACAGCACCGACTCGGAGACACCGGACTCGCCGGACAGCAACGACGTGGGTGACCGACACATCATGGGCAGAAGTGACGGCTCTCGTCGCTACTAGGAGCTTTAAACCACCAGTCCAATGGATCCCCCCAACATATGGCTGGAAGGAGGTGTCTTACTTTTAACTTCTTCCTTCCCCCACCGTGTACACATGCACTCCTCCCTCATTTGTCATTTCTGCCTCCCATCTTCCCTCCCCTTCTGCCATTCCCATTGTGGACATTCCCCGCATTACTGACCCCCCAGCTGGCTCTCTAGAACCATGTATTAGGGCACTTGCACATGACTGTGGCACAGTTCAAACTGTACTGAGGAAGGAGGGGCTTGGAAAGGACACCAAGTTGGAAGAAGCCAGCCATAGGGTTCAGAGGGGGGTCTCTCACAAGCCCTCCCCAGATATTATATATATATATTGTATATTTTTTCAATGTTGTCGTTTGAGGTTTATTCTCGTTTCATGCAAAAAACCAAACCAAACCCAACCAACCAACCACAAACCCAACACTGCAGCTTGTGTCGCTTTGTAAAATTGTCAATACTCCTGAAGTAAATGAATGAACGGAAGAAGGATGAGGAAACAAAGTGGATTTTAAAATAAATGGATTTCAAATAAAATGTTCAGGGCTTCTGCAGTTTTTCACTACAAGAAACAGGCAATGGAGGCTCAAATGTAAGACTGGAGATTGTCCAGAGCATTTATTTACTGAAATGACTGCTGTTTTCAGGGTAAGGTTACATTTTTGATTGCATGTGTTGGAACAAGAAACAATCATCACCCCTGACCCTGAGAGTCAAAATACTCTGTAAACACAATGTAGCCTTCCCTAGGACATGGGGCTAGGACTCCGCAGAGGAACAGAAGGCAGCCCAGACTGGAACAGGCAAGTATAACACATGCAGCAAACTGAACTATTGATTATAGAAAAGAAAAAGGCAGCTCTTTCCATACACTTAGTACATCATCAGCAGAACAGGCCAAATTCTCAGCTTCATCCAGGGTTTATTTTTCCACCCAATCCACTTTCTTTCTACATTAAGGAGTATTTTTCATACCAGGGTTCCAATCTGCAGAACAGAGCCAGCACTTCTAAGGGAAAGTGTCCTCTCTCTGTTGGGAATGGAGGGGATGGGGCACAACAGATACTGGAAAACATGGCTATGAGCCCACTAGCACGAGTTGTGTGGGTAGTGCTTTCTAGCAGTATGTGCTTCCCTTAATCTACTTGGTCTGATTATTCAGACCCTGCAAGACAAAAAGAGGCTGTCAGCTGCCTGACACATCTTGGGGCAATGGCTGCAACATCTGAAGAACTCAGAAGAAGATTCTGCAAGAGGACATCTGCTGGCAACCAAGGTTGAGAAATCTTCCTTAGGGGCAGGAAGGTAGCACAGTAGGTGAAAGAGCCCCTCTGATGGCATGAAAGGTCTCAGCACAAGATCTCAATTTGCTGCAGTTCTCTCAGATGTCTCAGCTCTACCTGTCATGTCCAACTGTGCCCACGTGTGGTTGTTACTGGGTCCAAAAGAAGTGAACATGCTGAGGCTAAGGTACTTTTATGCTTTCTCCTTTGTCTTCTTCCCAGTAAGTGTTGTGCCCTTGTTTCATACAGGGAGCTTACAGCAGGCACTGTCAAACCAGGATGTCAATGCTGAAGCACTGGAGTAATTCAAGTCTCCAGAAAGAAGAAAGGCTACATTGTGCACATCAGAGCCAAAAACTCTGCACAAAAATAGGCTTATGTCCTGAGAGTGCTAGGCCTGACCCAGTTCTGATATGTGATGAAAAGTACCACCTCTCAGACCACTGAAAAAGACCAATTCTCAGAACCATGAGGTGCCCACAGCAGCCTCAACCAGCTGCTGCAGTGTGATTACAAGGTGGAAGAGGCCAAATGTACGATGAGTTCATAGGTAGCCATCATGATAGCTGTGTTTGGGATCTGGCGGATCAAGTGAGCCAGGAGCCCTCGGTATAAAGCCAAAGGTCCCTCTTCATGGACCACAAGCTGCAGAGTCTGTATGAAGGAACGGTATCGTGACCCTTCTTCTCGCAACCGTGTCCGAATGACCTCTGGAGAGACAAGGAAGTGATATTAGCAGACTGATCCTATGGGCATGGCACCTCCCATAGAGGGGAACAGAAGCCAGGAGATCGGACTCACCATGTGGATATGCAATGCATGAAGCACATGTTTTGGAGACAGCAGCAGCTCCCATTAGTCCAAAGAAATCATGGCTGTTTGGTGAAAGTGTGAGTGGTGGGGAAAGGGAATGATGGCTGTTTCTCAGCTGCTGTTTCAGTGCTTCATAGATGACAAAGTGGATAATGGTCTCTGACACTCCAACATAGGAGGCAGTGATACCACGGTAAAATCCACGAAGGCCTTCAGTGCGATACACATGCATGGCACACTGAAGAGCATTGCTGGCCATCTCTCCCTTCACCCTGTAAAGATGAGGGAGGGTTAGAAGGGCATACTGCTCCACTGACCTCAAATGCTGTTGTGAACACAACTGTGACTCTTGCCCAGCACACCTTGAAAACCTATCTCCTCATGGCAAGTCACAAAACCCTATGCAACCCTCCCCCCACAAAACCAGTCCTGATTTGACATGGAGCGGCTCTGCGTTGCTAGCCTGCCTTACCTGGCTTCCAGCTGCATCCTGGTTTTCACTAACCAGATAGGATTGGTGAGTGTGGCAGAGGTAATGCCTGCAGAACAGAAGAGGGGAAAATCCATGAGCACCGGGATCACGCTGGCAGTTTGTGAGGAGGTGCTGATCTATCAGCTCTCTGAAGTCTGCTTGGCAAATTGAAGGCATTTGGAACTTGACAACGACCTTGAGCTCCCATGGGAGAAGAGACATTTAGGGGAGACTGTTCTTTTCTCTGCCTCCCCCATTCCAGCCTTTGTCTGCTGGTAATTAGCTTTTCTCCCTCAAACATAACCCTGCTGCAGGTCCTGGTGTTACAAAGAGGAAGGAAACAACAGACTAAACTTGCAAGAGTGGAAGATTTTGTTAGAGAAGTGGAATATATCAAGAGAAATAATACGAGTGGTCTAAATTACAGACTGCCTTGTCCCTCTCACAGCTGAATGGAGCTCTTTTCCTGATAGCAGCTGAAGGGGTAAAGACTTGAAGAGATGAGCCTAAGAAGAACAAAGAGTGAGAAAGCATTATGGTTACCCAAGGAGCTCACTGCTCCACGTGTGGGGGGAGAAAACTTCAGAAGAGAGAGCAGGACTCATGGGAGCAGCAGCGGGGAAGAAATGAAACCTGTTTATGCTTACAGACAGAAGGACCCCTTGACTCTGATTTGAGACAGAAGAGGCTTACCTGCACAGGCTGCTGACAGCATGTGTACTTTCTTGGACTCCGGTACAAGGACAGCATTGAGCCTCTCCTTAACATGAGAATAGGCAGCAAAATATATAGCCCTGGTTGGAAAGAAATGCAGAAGAAGTTACAGCTCACCTATGAGGAGCAGAGACAGCATTGCTGTGTGGGGTCTCTCTCCAGCTTTTCTTACTCCCAGCAAAGGTTTGTCTAACATGACATCAGATACCATTTATACTAGGCCCACAGAAATCACCTTATCTTAAAACTATGACTGGAAGGTTCAGAAAACATCTCTGTGAAGCAGTCCTGTGACCCAATGAGCACAAGGCCCAGACTGCTTCCAGAATGTGGAGCAACAGCTGTCACAGAGGTCCTCTGAAACATGTACAGCACGAGCTATCCTCAAGGAGCAGTACTCACCGGGAAGGAGCAACCCCAACAAGGTTGGGACCCAGACCTCGGAACAGGGATCGCACTCCTTCCTTCTCAACAATGGCCCTACAAAAGGAAACGAGCAGATACATCAGCAGAATAACTAAGCTAGGGCTCTCCTGTTCCTCCTCCTTCGTTCTTCAGTACTTCCTGTAGCATCCTCTCCTCACCTCCTATGTTATCCTTCTCCTGCCCTACTCTCATTTTCCCTCCACCTGCTTTCTCTCTCCTTTAGTCATTTCTTCCTATTTTTGCTGACAACATCACTCTGGGTCTGATCAAACCACTAGCTAAGAAATTTCTCACAGTCCCAAAAGCTCCCTTGCAGACTCAAAGCACTGATCAACTGTGAGAAGTAGTTGTACCCATGCTCTGATCAAACTTCCTACTGTACTTGCAGTTTCCAGATCCTCGGCTGAAAATCCATCTCCCCCTCTTGACTGTGGTCCCTCTCCCCTCACCCAGTGGCCAAACCTTCACCTCCTTGGTGCTAACATGCACACTGTCCCATTCTACTCACCTCAGCAGCTTGAGCACTCCAGGAGATGGTGGTGTGGGGTTCATCAGCCTCACACTCATCCCTGGCAGCTGTATCTCTGAGAGGCACAGAGGCCGCAGTACCAGTTGGGATGACTGTAGTCGTGTCTTCACCACTTCCAGGGGACAGGTCAGGATGGCTCCAGCTGTGCCACCACATCTAGGGCATAACAAGGGCATAATAGCACATGTAAGAATGATCCCTGTGCAGTAACAGGGCAATATTTCTGACCCTGCTCGTCCACAACTTCCAACTCTCTAGGAGAGGAGGTTAGGTTCCCCAGCCTGACCTCCTGCTCTGACATTGATTAACATCATAACGGCTCAGTCTGGGACATCTCCTGGCAGCCTCACCTGAAACCTCACTCAGTATTTGAGACAAACAGTCCCAAGTCCATAAGGACTCAGCAGTCCCTCAGCTCAGAGCTGCTGATCTTTGCATTCAGACTTTCCCAGAGTAAACATTGCTGCTGCCCAAACTCACAGCAATGCCTTCTGCTGAGATCACCAGGCACTGTGCCTGCTTCCCATCTCCCCACAGCAACATCGCCTCAGAGAGGGGCAGCACAACACTCTCCCACCCCACAACCTGCCTATGTTTTCAACCCATAGCCCTACATGTGCAAGGCCCTGTAAGCAAGATGTGTATTTGCTGCCAACAGCCAGGCTTGCCCCAGCCTAACTTGATTAAGGAAAGATGACCCTGACCTTCAGGAGACAGAAGCTATTTTTGGAACTCATGAACCATCACCATCAGTCTAGTCACACCTCAGTAATACCAAAAGAATGCATATCCCCTTTCCCCTTTCTATCACCCACTTCTGCCCCTTCAGATCCTTTGACTGACAACTGTTCTTCTAGAGGATGCTCAGTACCTGAAATACTGTTCTGAGATTAATTTGCATGGAACAGCCATGCAGAAGGCATTGACAAACAGACAGATGTTCCTATCTGCTACAGCCAAACTCGCTTTGTTTCACAAGAGATAGAGGCTTAAGAAAAGCTCACTCTGCTCCAAAGAAAGCAAAGCCAACCAAAGATCTACAAGATATCAGGGAAGAATCAAGTCTATCAACAGAATTACATATGACACTACCGCAGGACAAATGGCTAGAGCTGTGAAGAATGATTTTGAAAAAGTCCATACAGCTCAGTGCACACACACATTGCTCTCACAGCCTTTGCTCCTAGGGCAAAAAGGCTGTGATGCCTTCTGCAGTGAAGTCCAAGAGTTGAAGATCTGGCACCTAGATGGTTATGTAGCTAATGATGCCAGTAACTAGCTAAGCTACTCCATTACACCCATGCTGCTCTGTCAAGCCCTGTGCGGATCTACACAGTGGTGATGACTTGCAGAGCAGCCCACCAGCAGCACTTTCCCTTGGGAGATACAATGAGTGGTGGGAGCCTGGGATTAGGTGGAACATGACAAAAGAACTTAGCTCAGAAGACAACATACAAAGCAAAGAAGCAAACATCCTGGCTCAGGTTCTCTGGATGAACAAGCTGATCAAGCACGGACACAGGGACAGCCTATGTAGCAATTCAGGAGTTGCACGAGGCTTTTACAAAAGCCATGTTGATTCTTCCCATGTACACCATATTCATTCAAGGGTCCAACAGTCCTGTTCTTTTCCACAGTTTCCATTAATTTGCCTGACAAAGACTCCTGACTTACAGGCCTGGTGCTTTCTTGACCAGAAGTGTAGCTGCCAGTTCAGGAGAAGACTGAGTCCAGTGGTGACAGATCAAGATGTCCAAGAAGTCTGAATACAGCAGTTTCAACTTCTTACCTAAAAGCTGAGCACACACTACAATATTTAGAGAAGCAATTGCTTGGTATCCTAAAGATTTTTCTCTCTAACAGTGCATGAGGAAGTACAACTTCATGTAAAGCTTTCATAGTATCTCATTTCTTCCAGAGCATGGTCAGGGTATGAACTTGAACCCATGCCTCCAAGTTTCCTGAATTCAAGTTCCTCAAGCTACTGATATGTATAGAGAATAGAAAAGAAATTTAAAAGCAGTAGTAAGAGTTAAAGAAAGTGTTACTCCTTTGTGTAGTCGTCATTTAATCAGCTTTAAGAGAGGCTGAGGTGAAAGGGGACCTCTGAGCCACTATGACTCAATGGTGAGACTAGGGAGGATTTTTCAGGGAGCAAAGAACACTGACTAAACGAAGCTAAGGAAATAAGGTGTATCAGTTGTTCAAAGCTAGAAGAAATCTCAATTATGATGTCTTTCCATGCACTACATGATGATAGAGCTACTCACAGTGGAAGAAAAGCATAAGGCTCCAAAATTTGTCTGTTTCAGGAGAAATGGAAAATTATTTACTTTCAGCACAGAGATGAGCTTTTTTTTTTTTTTTTTTTCTCAGCCCAGGACTAATGAAAGCAAAATTGAACAAAATCTAGTCAGAACTAACGTTTTAAAATCAGCATGCTCACACACACACACCCCCTCACCTACCATGGCCATAGATATTCAAAATAGTACATTGAGGAGATTTCATACCTACAGATTTCAATGTTTAAGAAATTTAAGCATTCCCCAGAAACTGGGGAAATATACTAAAGAGTTCTTATGTCCACCAGGACTGAAGAAGTGCATTTGTAGCAGTTTGTTCTGCTAAGGTTATACAGTTGTAGGACCTGAGATGATTGCCAGAAGAGAATTACAGAATCAGATCACTATAGACTTACAAGACGCTTTGCATTAATTCATGTTGGGGGGGAGGAGGGAGGTATATTGTTGTGTTTGAGTCTTTTTATGGAACTTGTCAAACAAAAGCTGGATTCAAAAAGAGCAACTACAAAGATATTACCTACTTCAGTTTTCCAAGAAGTGAGTGTGGCATCTCACAAGCACACAGTGAGGGCCTTAACACTCTGGTTGCAGCATAGATGCTAAGTGGATTAAAATCTTTCCCTGCTCTGAAACCAGATGTCAGTGAAGAATCAAACAGCAGGAGTCCAGCAAGAGCCTAGAAAAATCACCTCTAGCCTAGACCTAACCATTTTCAACTTCTCCACCAACAGCCAGGAGGTAACATTTCACTCTTGATAAAATCCATGGGTGACGAAGGTTGTCACAATACTGAGTAAAGCTGCAGTGACAAAATCATGGCAAATCATGAAAAAACACTGAATAGAACCGAGCAGCCATGAAGGGTCCTCCTGCTGTGCTTAAACAGACCTGTTTAATAAAGGCGAACCCCTGAAGTCATTGCTCTTGAAGCAGGAACAAAAGCAATTCTTGCAAAATATGATGAAGAGCAGTGGCTGACAACCAGGGTAACAGGTACGCCCAGCGCAAAGCAGCGGCAAAAAGAGCTAAGTGAAGAAGGTAGGTCATTGTACCTTAGAAAACAGAACTTGCCTCTGAATTTTGCTTTCATGTTTATAGAAGGAAAACTGGGAAGTTTGAAGTGGTGGAAAAAAAGACGATCTGTTGAAATACAAAAACCACCATTAGCATTTCTTTCAATTATATGAGAAGGGTTTGAGAACATCCACAGGAGCCACAGGGTTTACTGCTAATTCACATTTTTGCCCTCATTCAGGCTAGCCAAAAACTGAGATGGACTGAAGATCTTCATTTAAGGATAGCAGTGCTAAGTCAGACAAATCTACAGTTACACCAGATTTTGCCTAGGATACAGATGAATAAAGACCACCTATGGAACAGTAGAAGAAATCTTTCAGCTTCCCACAATTTTCAGCTTAGGGATTTCCTCAGCCAGAAAAGTTGCATTGCATTTAATAGTGTTCATCACATTCTTTTTCATTAATCTTCTTGAAATACTTTCTGGACAATAAAAAGCTTTTACCCTTTAATATTTCATGGCCAGGAGCCCCACAGTTTAACTGCACACTGTGTTAAGAGCTGTGTTCTCACATTAGTTTTGAACAAACCTCTCGCAAGTTTCATTTGATGGTCCCCCCAGTTCTCACATTAGAATATAAAGTGAACAACTGTTCTTTAATCAGTGAAATCTGTTTCATTAGGTAGAACAATAATATTAACTATATACTGCAGCAATAACCTGAACTTCTTATTAGTCTTATTCCTATCTTGGGTTTTAATTAAGTGTAATTCAAGAATTATTGCTTAACGGGTGAGAACGGGATACAGACTTACATAGCTCCCACTAGCAATGCTCCTGTCACTAGCTAAACTCTAGAAAGCAAACTCTTTGTTATTTCAGGAAGCAAAGTGGAAATAAGGATGAGGAAAAGCTGAACTAGAAAGATAAAAAATATGAAAGGCTACGATGCAGTGACTATACAGTTCAAAGGAGAAATTAATAACAGAGAATAACATATACAAAGTAACTCTGGGAACAGATGGGGCAAGTACATACAAGTCAAGATTGACATAGCATGACAACTACATTAGTGCAGAAAAGTGGAAATTTACTAATTAAGAGCAATTAAATGAGGTGCTTTACTGCACATGCCATACCATGAAACTCACTGTCACACAGACTCCAGCAGGCTGGTGGAATCTGGAAAGGGATTAGGTGGCAGTCTAGGCAAGGCTGCTCAGCAGTTACTCAGCAAAGTGTAGAGGACCTCAGTATCTTCTGCTTTGGGGTATCATAAACTTAAAGCTCATTGTTTTGAGACTTAAACGTTTCTAAAAGAGAGGAAGGTGAACTGCTGCACAAGGGACTTGCTCAAGGGCACGCTGCGAGTTCAGAGGCCCCACGCTCCCAACGCCTGACGCGGCAAAACCAGCCACACTATTTACGCGCCAAACCCAGCCACACTATTTAAAGCGAAACAAGGCATGCAGGAATCTCAGCCACGCGATGGTGGAGGGTTGGCTGCCCTCCCAGAGACAAGGATGCTCCACCACTCGCTCCCCTCAAGAGACCCCGCGGTGCCCCGCATGCCCCCGTTCAGCACCCAGCTCCCTTTTCCCTCCCAGCTCCCGTGAGCTCAGGCTGGATGAAACACCAGGCGAAGGCCCTCCAGACTCTCGGGGAGATTCCCCTTCTTCCCACACTGCAGAGCCACACGTTCACCCCGGCGCTGAGGGGCCAGAGACACACCGATGCGCCTGCATTAGAACGTGACACAGCAAAGACAGCGCGGGTGAGGCCCGCGGGGCACAGGCGCTGCTAGCGTGGGGCAAGGCAGGGCGCTCA